TTTCCCTAAACAAGTATGGATTCTAGAGGGACCCAGTCTGAATGCAACAGGGGCAAATGTATTACAAACAAGGCATTAGCAACGTGTGCTTGCTTTCGCTGAACTAGAAGCATACTTCAGCTTGAACGGTCTAGGGCTGGGTCCCACATGGGCAGAAGCTCTGAGTGCGGTGTACGGAGAGATGAGACTGACAGGAAGAACTACAAACACTACACGGAAAGGCCGGGACTCTGACAGCTGAGAAACTAAAGCCTGGTTTGATGCGGGTTTCCTGGAGCTGCTGGGAAGGAACTCATTAACGGATGAAACAGGAAAGCCTTGGAATCTACCTGGAGAACGTGGAGGCATCAGGGCTTTGCTCAAGCAGATGTTAAGAGTTGGACGGCGCTGGGTAGAATCTAGGAAGGAGAAAATTCACTGCCTTGGGGTTCGGGTGAGAAATCACGATTGCAAACACTTACATAGCGCTTATTGTGGGCCAGGCTCTAAGCATTAATTTGTTAAGTGGGAACATTTCAAATTTAGAACCGGGGAGTGGGCCAGACAGGTCAGTGAGGGCCAAGGAGTGTAGGATTGTGGCTAATGCTATGAGTTAAAGCATTCCACAAAGTCGGCTATAAAGGTGCTGGTAAAACTGGGCACCTGTAACTCGGCTACCTGCAGGGGTTTGTGCTTGAGGCTGGAGAGAGCCAACTGTGTGCATCTCTTCCCACCTCTGTTCAGCAGCACACTGGTAGCTTGAAACGGGCCATGGTGGATGCAGTTACACCACGGAAATCGACAGGTGCTACGTGAGGGCTCTCCCCTCCCCGCTCCCCCCCCAGAGCCAGTTAGCCAGCACACCAGCCTGGAACCATGGGATATGGACGGGTCCTATTTAAGGAATCTGCTCAACAGGCCCTGATTCAGTACATGCTCGTCTAAGCTGCTGGGTCTAAGGTATTGTGTAAGGCGCTGGGGATAAATCAATGAAAACGCGTAGACCCTGACTTCATGGAGGTAACGATCTAGTGGTGGAAACAGACCTAATATTAACACAATCCGTTCAATTGTGAGTTAACGCCACAAAGGAGAGACACAGGGTCCTGCAGTCACCTCACCCTCCGCGCCTGATTCGCAGCTCAATTCTCTGGCATTTTTCCTGGAGAAGCAAAGCACAGCTGTCCCCACCCTTCTCTCGCTGTTCCTGCCTCCAGGCCAGCACTTCCCGTCACTAACAGGTAACTTCTGCAGCGCCCAGCGGGCCATTTCCTGGGTCCCCAGACAGTATTTCAGCCTCAGGGGCGGAACCCAGCATGCGCAGAGCCGTCTCAGCAGAGCCCCCTCCTCCCCCACTGCACCTGGCCAGGCCCAGCTCCTGCCACTGTTCTGCTCCCCAGGACATCACGGTTTCCATGGGAACCCACTCACTTCAAAGGGGAACGGCAGAGACTGGAGGGGAGGAGGGAGAGTGAAAGCTGGATCGACCTCACCCTCTTGGCCCCGTCTCTGTGCTGCTGGCAACCTAACCTCCAAGCTCCCCGCCACCTAACACCATCCAGCCCACAGCCCACCGGTGGAGAGGTGGGGAGGTGTGGTCCAAGCTAAATTTTAACTTCTTGGGGGGAAAACCCCAGGGGTGAGGTGCACCTGGGGAAGGAGAGATCTGAGCTGGGTCCAAGCCTGCGGTCCCCGCTCCATGGGGCTTCCCCTCGGCAGACCCCTCTCAGCATTGCTCCTGGGCCACAAACACAATTACCCGCGATGTGCATTCAATCATGGGGTCTGCTCGGATTAGACTGCAATCATTAATCTGAGCGGGAGCTCCCGGCTGCCTTGCTGATTAGCCCAGATGATGCTCTGGTATGATCCAATTAAAGACAGACTCTGCCTCCCTTCCCCCCTCCCCCCACCCCACACGCAGAGTTTCCACATCAGAAGGAACCAATACATTTCATCAACACATCCTCCTACACAAATAAAACCTCAGGGCACCGGGAGGCTCCCTCCCTCTTGTCGCACTGCCCGATGCCGCCCTGCGGGCCTGGCGGGGACACTCCCAAAGTCAGCGCGCGGGGACACCCCAAAGTCAGCGCGCAGGATACCCCAAAGTCAGCGCGGGGCACTAATCTCCGTGGAGAGGGGATGCTTACATTTATGGACATGAAATGCCGACTCCCTGATGTGCTTTGAGCAGCCAGGCCGCCCCAGGCGGGCAGATCTAATTAGAATTACCCGACCCTATGGGAGGTGGAGTGCCTCCCCTCAGCCCGCAAGGGCGGTGGAGAGGGCGGCTGGCACTAATGGGAGAGGGGTGGTCATGGGAGACACCCTGGGGGCCCTGGGGCAAGCGGGGCTGCAGAAGAAAGAACTGGGCAAGGGTGCTGATGTCCCTCTGCCCCGACGTCCTGAGATGCTGGGCAGCCTTGTTTGGCTGGACTGTTGGTGGTATCCAGCCTGGGATTTCTTCTTCATGGTCAGACAGCTGCAGAGATAATTTGCTCAAATGCCATGGGCTGTGAGGTGACAGCCCCGTGGGAGAGGGTGAATCTCAGGTGTGGAGGTGAGGCATGTTGGTTGAGGGAAGATCTGGGCCTTTGGACTTCAGGTGACATCATGTTGGACAGCTCCCTTGGGGACGCGGCCCACCTCCTGGCTGGGCCTGGGTGGGGTCTGAGCCTGGGATCTTGGGAAGGGCTATGGAGCACGTGAAGCCCATTGGCAGGAACAAGGGAACCGTCTGCTTTGTGCCAGACGTGGAGCCAGGTGCTGACATGGGCTGTCTCGTAATTCTTGCCGAACCGCTGATTAGGCTCTGTCCTGAAACCAACGCTCAGAGAGACGAGTACAAGGAGGAGGTAGGGCTCAAGCCTAGGTTTCCAGAAACTTTATGTTAGGCCACTAATTTGGGGTCTTTCTAGACTAAGATCTGTACTCACTACAGGTCCCTGCCCCTGGGGGTCCGAGAAGGTGTCAGGGATCCGTCTCCAGTGCGAATATGAATCACCTGGGATCTTGTCAAAGTGCAGATCAGGAATCCTCAGGTCGAATGGGGCCTGAGATTCTGCGTCTCCAATGAGCTCCCAGGTGACGCGATGCTTCTGGACCACGGACCGCGCTTGGAGCAGCAGGGATTTAAAGGGGGTGTGATGACTGTACCCAAAGTCATCAGACCACAGGGCAGTTTTCAGAGGCCAGGACACTCTCGCTCGCTGCTTCTGTTCCGCCACCAGGCACAAGGTGAGGCTACAGGCCCTGTGCAGCCTCATCTTCCCATGCCCAGCTGCTCTGGCCACTGGCCGTCCTGGGAACACACCAGGCTCTCCTCTGCCAGAAGCTCCTGGCCCCCCATTTCTCCTCCTGCTCCTCCTCTTACTCAGCCCTGAAGATAAGACTCTACCGCTTCCCCCGTGAAGCCTCTTCTCTGTCAAAGCTCTGACCACTCTGTGTTGGTTTCTTGTTTGCATTATGTCTCCGTTCCTGGACAGGCAGGGAAGAGCCCATGCACAACCTTTATGATTTACCTCTTTCCCCTGGAGCCCAGCACAACGCCTCCACGTAGTAATAGCAAGGGTTCAAGGCAAGTGTGAAGGGAGGACAGGAGTGTAGGTCCCATGCTGGGGGCAGGGGAGCTGGGGTCCTCCTCAGGGTCTCTGACAGGTCCTGTGACCAGATCCTGGCATTCTTTGGGGCCCAAGGCAGAGGTCTCTACCCGCAGGAGCCGGGCCTGGCCTGGGTGCCGGGCAGGCTGGGGCCCGGGAGCTGTGTTATCCAGGCCTGGGAAGGACCTTGTGTCAGGATCTAGGGATCAGGGCCTGCTGCTTTGGACTCCCAACTGTTGGCATTAGAGGCATTCAGCTCATCTGAGTAAATAAAAATAATGCCAGCGATAATGATCATAACGGCAATAATTACCACCATTGCCATAAAGCCACTGTCACGGGCGGGGCTGGGTGGGCCAGTCCACGTGTGACTGGAGTTAGCGCCCGCTGCAGCGCACGCTCATCCAGGGGTCGGCCCCACTGCTAATGCACGCGAATGTATGTGCTCACACGAGCGAATGTGAGCAAGGGTCCAACCTCAATACTGAGTGCTGACTTGGGCATCTTTTCTTAGTGATGTGGGCTCCCCATGGATAAAGGATGACTGAAATCCTTGCTGGGACCTCGCTCAGGTCTGCCCTCAGAGGACGGCATCTTCACCCCAACAACGTACACAAGACAGACTGGAATTTCCCTGAGCCCTTCCCACCCTCTGCTACATTCAGGGCCCAGCCCTGGGTACAAGGGGCTGATGCAGAGTAAAACAAGACAAGCCGCCTGCTCTCAGCAAACTGCCCGTCTCGGGGAGGGTGCCAGAACCTACACAGTCGTGTACAACCTCTATTGCTATAAACCAAAGACTACCATGAATCACAGTGTGGTCCAAGCACCAGCTGCATTAGAGTCGCCTGGAATGCTTGTTAAACATTCATACCCTCCTCCTACAGCTTGACCTACTGATTCAGCATTTCTGAGCACGGAGTCCAGATACGTGTGTTCTGACGAGAGCTCCCGGTGGTTTCCAGGCGTACTAAAGCTTTGCTCACAACCGAGTCCTGGATGGCGAGTGCTGGAATGAAGGCGACGACGGGGCACTTGGGCCAGGACAGTCCTGAGGCAGCTGCCCGTTTGCTGAGTGGAGGGCTCTGATGCTCGTCAGGGCTCATCTCCCCAGCTGGGCTGAGGAAGAGGCCCTCCTGGAAGACACAGCCCAGGCCTCATCTCCCTCCCTGGACAATTCCTGCATGGCCAGCTGAGGGCTCTCTGGAGTGACTTCAGAGAGAAGGGCCCTGGCCCTGGCTACTGGCTTCCATGAGCCCACCTGCTGGCCTGCACTCACATCTCTCATGGCTGAGCTGGGCCTAAGGCCACTAGGGGGCTCCTGCGCATGGCCCTGCTGAAGTGTCTCCTACCTGTACACAGCTCGCTTGTCAGCCTCCAGCTGGGCCTGGGGGTCGATGGGGGCACTGGGCACAGGTGTACTGGCAGCAGCCGAGGGTGCGGCGATGTGGACAGCCTGGGCCTTAGAGGGGGCCTGAGCGGTCGCCGTCATCTGCAGAGACAGAGAGGAGGCGTGGGTTAGTAGGGCCAGGACCACTGGTTCCCCGGCTGGAACTGTGAGATCCACCTCGTCCTATGGGGGGTGTGTGTGTGGATAAGAGAACGTGTACGAGAGAAATGTGAGGGTATAACGAGCGTCCATTTGTACATATGCTGCAGTGGGAAGAAAGCTGGTGTTTCCTCAAATGAGAAAATTCTGGGGAACGATTTAGGACCATCCAAAATCAGGTGGTGTGGAAGTGAGTTCTCTTTAAAAGCGACCTAGAGGGGCTAGGGACCTAGATGGGGAGGGTGGGAGGGAGGCTCAAGAGGGAGGGGTTATGGGGATATATGTGTACATTCAGCTGGTTCACTTTGTTGTACAGCAGAAACAAACACAACACTGTAAAGCAATTATACTCCAATAAAGATGCAAAAAAATAAAATAAGTGATGGTTCTTAATGCAAATTAAGGTGGTGGCCTCTGGCCAGAAGCAGAAAAAAACAGAATGATGAACCCTTTAAATTGTGCTTATGAGTCACTTGGGCTGTACTGGGCAGTGCTAGGTTTGATTTGATGATTTTGGAGAGCAGGAAAAAAATAGCTGAGTCAGTTCTCAACTGGGCAGAGGTTTATCCCATTTAACACAAGCCAGAGGTAACTTTTAATGGTTCTGACTGACAATTGAGTGTTCTGCAAATTTGGTTTACCTGGGCACTTGAAGATAAGCAGGTTGTAGTGGACGATGAACAGCTTTCTGTTCTTAGACATGACAAATATTTAGCCTAGTAGAGCTCCTCCTATGTTACATGTTTTTGAAGGTGCCCCTGGGGCCCCAAGTTTGTGCCAATCAGAGCACCTTTTAAAAATATATTGTATATTGGACTTTCCGTATAAGATTTCATTTAAAGAAATGGTTAAATGGCCTTTAAATTTTGGGTAACCATCATAATAGAACTTAATGCTTTTACATTTTATTTTCCTTAAATGGATCCCTGAAATGTCACGTGTGGTGACATGCCTCAACTATTGCTTTCCTCCAACCGGCCCACAGAGCCTGACAGCTGTCACCCACTGTGTTCTTGGACTTGACACCCCTGTCTGCCTCCCGAGCTAATACCTTGTTCACACCTTCATCCCCGGCACCCAACTGACACAGACTGGATGCTTAGTGTTTGCTTAGAAAATGAATGAGGGAATAAACAAGTGAACACACCTTGAAAGAATCGTATATTTTACAACTGGAAAGTTTATCATGTGATCTAGGTCCCTGCTTTCTGGAAGAAAGAGCACTGTACTGTACCACTGTACCACGAATACAAGCACAAAACACTTGCTGTCTCATTTTCTTCATTAGATCTCTGTTCACGTGCCACATCGTCACAGTAAAATAGAGTCCCTCTGCCCCTGCTATCCCCTTACTCTGCCTTATTTCACAGCCCTTATTATGACTATATATTTAATAGCCCTTATCATGACCAGATACTATATATCTACTTGCTAAGTTATTCTCTCTCCCACCTCCAACTCAAATGTAAGCTCAAAGAGGGCTGGTTAACAGTTGTGTTCCTAGGGCCTAGAATAGCGTGGCACTAGTCAATGCTCAACAAATATTTGTTAAATGAATGAATTAACGAGTGATGGATGGTAAATAAAATTGAGACTGTAAAAGAAATATACTGTATCCCCATCATTTTTTGTTAGGAAGAAATATCCTTGTCACTGTTAGCTGAGCTGGGGGAACTTTCCCAAACTCAGTGCTAGACAGAGCATCATGGTACCTTGAGGCCAGCAACGTACCATGCTTGACTCTTACTGTCTCCTGTTAATAGCTTTTTGACTTTGAGCAAATCCCTCAACTTTCTTAAGTTCCTCCTTTTCATCAGTAAGCAAACTGGTGTCCTTTTAGGATTCATGAGTATTAAAGAGGTGCTATAAGGAAGAAAGTAGAAACAAATGCTGTTCTAATTTTCAAAATACAGAAATAAGGTGGAATCAGACAAACTAAGTATACTTTTAACCTTCACATTGATCTGGGCTAGTTTCTTTCATTCACCAATGCAACTGATTATTTTTCCCAATACTTTTCAAGTCGCCACCATGTACTAGGCACTGGGGTGACTAGGATGAATGCCTGCTATAATGGAGCCCAGTTCTGGGTTTAACCTGATTACTGAGCTGGCAGATCAGGAAAATGGTAGACATCTTCATTTACATGGTGTAAATGACCTCAGCAAGGTACCTCCCATGATATCCTCGTGGAAAACATGGAGCGACGTGGTCTGGTGGACAACTGTGTGGATTAGGAAGCTACACCCAAAGGATGACAATTACAGGAGAGATGTCAGAGGGAGGAGGGCTTCTAGGAGATGCCACATGCTTTCTCCTCAACTCTCTTCTTCAATATTTTTATCAGTGATTTAGAGGATGTCTGAAGAAATGCTCAACAAACTTATGGGTGACATGAAACCGGGATCCAAACGATCTTTACAGATTTTGGCAACGTGCTAAGTCTAATAAGATTAATTCTTGTCTAATAAGTTGGAATTTAACACTTGCAACACTTCGGCAAAAAAAAAAAAAATCGATAATATAAGTGTGGAAGAGGAGAGACATCATTTAGCAGCACGGTTTAGTTGACAGAAGGCTCAGTATGTCCACAGTGTACTGTGTCTGTCAAACAAACAAACAAAAACCCCAAACTGATGCTCTGTGAGGACCCATCAGCAGAGGCACAGCTCACACAAAGCTTCCAGCCCCACCTACTAAGCTGAGACAGGTGCAGGAAAGTACACTCAGAGGAAAGTGGACCAGACTGCTCAAGGGATTCTGAGGAATATTTGCAGGAATCTGCAATGTTAAGGAAGATTTGGGGGTTGGGAGGGAGATGGAGGCACGTGAGAGCCCCCTTTGAATATCTGAATGAGGGATTAGATTGTGTCAGTTCTGTTCTGTATGCCCTAAAGTGTCAAACTACAACCGATGCATTAAATCTGTAAAATGCAGAGGCAGATTTGGGCTCGACCCAAATAGTAAGTTTCCAAGCCTCTGAGCTCTCCAAGGCTGGGATGGGCTGCCTCCCAGAAGTGGTGATTTTTCACTCGTGCAGGGGCCAAGCGGAGACTCCCGCAGAGGCGATGGACGCTTTCATGACCACTGCCCACTCCCAGGGTTGGCGTGGGGCTCAGATTAGATGACGTACGGTATGTAAAAGTGCTTTGGAAACTCTATAAAGTTTTCCCCATATGGAGGGGTGGTTGTAGTCCTTCAACTACAGCACGTGCATCTTTCATAAAGCAATGCACAGCTATGTGCCCAGCTCGTTTAAGGGTAAAATACAGGGTAGGCTGGTGTGCTCTGCTCTGCTCAGTCCACTAAGGGTGAATTTCCTCGTGTCCTTGAAGGAATCCACAAGGGGTTTCTATGCAGATGAGCTTCTAGGAGTGGGAGGACTGAGGGGAGGGGCTCCTTTTCCTCTCACCTCCCCTTTCTAGGCAGGACTTTGGGGGAAGGTGTGGGCAAAAGCCCAGCTGGGGCCCAGAGGAAAGTGTAAAGTCTGTCATACAGAGTGAAGTAAGTCAGAAAGAGAAAGACAAATACCGTATGCTAACACACATATATGGAATCTAAGAAAAAAAAAAAAAAAGGTCATGAAGAACCTAGGGGTAAGACAGGAATAAAGACACAGACCTACTAGAGAATGGACTTGAGGATATGGGGAGGGGGAAGGGCAAGCTGTGACAAAGGGAGAGAGTGGCATGGACATATATACACTACCAAACGTAAAATAGATAGCTAGTGGGAAGCA